TCTGTCAGTCAGGGTCCGGGCGCGGAAGGCGCGCACGCAGATATCAGGGTTGAAGGAGGGGGGATCCGCGGTCAAGGGAGTGAAGCAGATTCTGGAAGCAGCTTCGGGCTACTTCAAGAAAATCTTCGGCAATGATCGCCGTACAGATTTCACAAGCTGGGATTTTAACCCGAGTCGGTGCCTGCAAAATGAAGCGGCGGAGGCGTTAACGGCTGACTGGACGGAGAAGGAGGTAAAAGCGGCTTTTGCAGCAATAGCGAAGAATAAATTGTCAGAAAGAACGAATGGATTGAACTAGCAGCAGGATCGGTACAAGTAGCAAACCGTAATTTGGGTTGTACCCCATATGGGCACCCCACTATAGCCTACACAGAACTAACACATATATAGTTTAACACACCCCCATAGGCAAAGTGGGGGAGAACAATGGGTCACAAGACCAGTCAAGAAAAGCAAAACAAGCTTAGGGTGGATCACAACGTCACCACACATTCCGAGCACAGGCAAAGGACCACAAGGCCAGTTCACATGCAGAGGTATATATGCAGCAACAACAGTACAGTGATCACTACCTAGCAAGAGCAAGCATGCAGTTATATATATAGATCACAGTACAAGCAAAGTCACGAAGTGAGCAAGTGAGGCCAGGTAGGCACAAGGCCTAAAACAGTACAGAAACGCTTATGATCACAAGGCGGAAGTGCCTTGGTGAAGATATCAGCAGTGTTGGCCTGAGAGGCCACGTAAACAAGACGAAGCTGACCACGCTGCTGCAAATCTCGAGCAAGGAAGTAGCGCAGAGCTATGTGCTTCGTTCTGTGCTCCAGTCTGTGCTCTTGACACAAGGCAATCATGGCCTTGTTGTCGACGTACAGAACTGGAGGAGAACGAGGCGGCTCTCCCAAGTCGGTCAGCAGGTAGGTGAGCCAGCGTAACTCCTGTGCAGCCATGTCCCCTGCGTAGATCTCAGCCTCACAACTAGAGCTGAGAACAGAGGACGAGCAGGTAGACCGCCACGAAACAGAACCTGAGCCAAGGCTGAAGGTCTAACCCTGTCACAATCGCTGCGTAGCCAAGTCGTCAACCCAAGAAGCGTCTGCGTGACCAGTGAGGACAACTGGACCCCGTCCTCCAAGCACGAGCCCCATGCCCGACGTACTGCACAAGTAGCGCATCACCCTCTTAGCGGCCCTCCAGTGCTCTGGTTGGTGTCTCCCGGGTGCAACGTAGCGTGCCAAGATACTAAGAGGGTAAGCAAGGTCAGGTCGAGTGCAGGTCATCAGGTACATGAGGCAGCCCACAAGCTCTGGATACGGGCCATTCAACTCTACGGACTCATCCGAAGGCAGAGCTGAGAGCGAGTGACCGGTAGGCAGAGGAGTGGCCTGTGGCGAGGAGTACTGGAAGTCGAAGCGCTGAAGGACCTGCTGCACCATGTGTGACTGATGCAAGGTAATGGTGGCCGTGCTCTGTCCCGGGTGATCTGCAAGCCAAGATAGCTGTGCAGCTCACCCAGGTCTGTGCACGTGTGTCTCTTCTGCAGCTCCAACTTCACGTGGGCCAGTCCAGCAGTGTCAGCAGTGGCAAAGACCAAGTCGTCGACGTACACGAGGATGTAGAACGGCGGCAGCGAAGTGTCAGTGCGTAGAAATAGCGACGGGTCAGCAGTAGAGGTGCAAACCCAAGAGCCGCAAGAGTCGTCCTCAGTGTGTCGTGCCACTCGCGAGGCGCCTGGCGGAGACCGTAGACTGGCCGCCGAAGGCTCCACTGGGTACCAGGAGGAAACGACCCAGTGAAGCCAGGTGGGCGGCGCAGCCAGATCTCCTCGTGCAGGCTGCCCTGTAGGAAAGTAGTGCTGAAGTCAAGAGAGTGAAGCTCGTAGTCCTGCTGAGCGGCGACGTGTAGCAGTACCCAAAGAGTGGCCATCTTTGAGGTAGGGGATAAGTTCTGGAAGAAGTCAACTCCCTGTCGCTGACTGAAGCCTCGTGCAACGCAACGCGCCTTGAAGACAGGCGGAGAACCCGGCGGCCGCTTCACCCTGAAAATCCACATGCCACTAATGATGTTCGCCCCAGGTGGGGGAACCTCGTCGACGTAAGTGCCAGTGGACTTCCAGGATGCCATCTCTGCGTCCATGGCTGACTGCGACTGAGAGGAGTAGGGACCCTCTATCGCCTCTGCTTAAGAGCGCGAGGTCGGGATGTCTGGTGCATCCGGGTCTCCCTTAGGTGCAATCAGCATGGACACGAGATGAGGTACAGCAGCTGCAAAGCACTCAAAGTCCTCCTGTCTCTCCTCAAGGACGTCCGTGCCAAGAGCACACTCACCCTCGATGGACGGAGGACAGACAGACTCAATCCCAGCAACAAGGCTAGCGGCGTAGTCTAGACGACAGCGAGCAGCAAAGTCGACAAGCTCAGCAATTAAGGCAGACGCAGTAGTGGACTCAAAGGAAGGGTCACTGACAACAGTGGCTAGGAGACGCGTGACAGTAGGACTAGCAGCACGAAGGGAGTCAGACTCCGGGTCCGGACCGTCAGCAAGGGAGGACGCAGGAGGAGACGGCAGGAGGGACACGTAGTGGAACAGAGGAAGGACGTAGTGCCATCTGGTGCGTGCCGGGGATAGGAGGAGGACGCAGACGCGGAACACGACGACTAGTGCGACCCGTGCGAACAGGCGACGCAGGATGAGACGCAGGCTCACGTCGCTCAGTAAGAACTCCGGGCTGCTCAGTGTAAGGAGAAGGAGCAGGCAGCGGGGAGGCTGGCTATAACTGTGGCAGGGACTGGTCAGGCGGTGGACACAGTAAGGGAGGAGTAAGGTCAGTAGAAGGGGGGAGACCAAGAACCTGCTGAAGCAGTGCAACGAAGTACGGTCGCGGCCGCACAGCACCTCCAGCACCAGCACCGACAGCACCAAGACCCAAAGCAGCTCAAGCTCGAGGAGCACCTCCAGCGCCAGCAGCTCCAGTACCTCCAGCAGCTCCAGCTCCAGCACCTCCAGCAGCTCCAGCTCCAGTAGCACATCCAGCAGCTCCAGCTCCAGCAGCACCTCCAGCACCAGTAGCACTAGCACCTCTAGCAGCTCTAGCTCCAGAAGCACCTCCAGCTCCAGTAGCTCCAGGACCTCCAGCAGCCCCAGCTCCAGCAGCACAAGTGCCTCCAGGAGCTCCAGCAGTACCACCAGCCCCAGCAGCTCCAGTACCTCCAGTACGAGCACCTCTGGGACTAGCAGCTACAGTACCTCCAGCAGCTCCAGCTCTAGCAGCACCATTCCGGAGGCTCCGGCGCCGAGCAAACAACTCGCGCAGCTGTAGTGGAGAGAGAGACTCCGGCCGGGACAAGACACACGAAGGGCCTCCGGGCCCCGCACCCGCAGGCTCAGCACCCCCAGACGCAACACCCCTAGAAGCACCAGAGTCGACAGCGACCTCGACAGGCTCGACAGGGTCTACCTGGGACACACCTGAGGGAGCAGGACCCTGAGGGGGAAGGGGGTTTACCGGAGGAGGACCTGGTGCGAGGAAGAGCGGCAGGGGGGGGAGAGGGGCAGTGCGGTAGGGGAAGAGACGGTAAAAGGGAACCGACTCGTCCAACGTGACGTCTTGAGAGGGCAGGACACGACCCGAGGTGGGGTGGTAAAACTGCCAGCCAGGCGCGTCAGGGACAAAGCCAAGGAAGACACAGGGAACGGCGCGGGAGGAGAGCTTGTCCGCGGACGTATCGCGGACAAAGGCTCGACATCCCCAAACCCGGAACACCGACGCATCGCCAACATCCCCCGTCCAACGCAGTGTGGGCGAGGTCCCCGGCAAGGAGACACGGGGCCAGAGGTTGAGCTGATGCGCAACGTACTCGACTGCAAACGGCCACAGAAAATGGGGGCAGCTGCATGGTTCATAGAGGTACGAGCGACCTCCATGACTAAGACAATGCGGCGCTCAGCAACCCCATTCTGCTGCGGAGAGGCCGGAAGCGTGAACGTCTGGCGATTGCCCTCCGCACGACAAAAGGCCCGCAAGAGGTCGGAGGAAAACTCACCACCTCTGTCAGAGTGCAGACGCAGGACTGGAAGATCCGTCTCGAACCGCTCGCGGAGCTGGAGACGAACAGCGCGGATCCAAGGGATCAGAACATCCGGGACCTCCCCCTTGCGGCGCAAGGGGAAGACCGTGGTGTAACGCGAGTAGTCGTCGACAACCAGCAGAAAGTACCGCTCGTGGCCCTGTCCACGGACGCGGGCTGGGCCCCACACGTCTAGGTGGAGTGTCTGCGGGGGAGCCTCAGTCGGGGGGAACGAGGAGGAGTGAGGAGCGGCGCGCTGCCGCCCCTCGACACAGGGAAGGCAGGGAGGGGCAGGCGAGGGTGGGAGGGGAGGCAGAGACCTGGGAAGACCAGAGACAAGGAGACGGGAGTGCATGCCACGGAGGCGTGCCACAGAGGGGTGACCAAGACGGTGGTGCCAAAGGAGCGTCTGGTGCGACAGGGTGCGACACGAGCAGGGGGCAGCATGCTGAACATACAAGGACGCTGCCGCTGCCGACCAGGGGTGAAGGTGTCAACCCCCGCATCCTGGAGGACAGCAGTGCTCACCAATTTCGTAGAGAACGAGGGGAGGTGGAGACCTGACAGTGACCCAGACGGAACCGCCAGACAGGGCAGAACAGTGGAGGAACGTACAAGGACTGGGCCCCCAGAGGGGTCAGCCAAGGAGACAGCAACAAGTGCAGAGTGTGGTGTGACTGTGGTATTGTCACGAAAGAAATAGCGGGAAGCACCTGAGTCAAGCGTGAAGGTGTGCAGGGCCGCAGCAGACGCAGTACCAGAGAGAGCAGACTCACCAGTACCTAGGGCAGCAAACTCACTAGCACCTAGAGCAGCAGCCTCTATACCTGGGTCTGGCGGCAGACATAGATAACAGTCACCCTCAGCACTGACAGTCAATGCATACATGGCAGATAGGATAGCAACCAAGTCAAGAGCAGAGATACCCACATTCTACCTAAGCAGCTCCGCCCATTTGGGGAGCTCAGGTGCATCGGGAAACTCTGCGCGAAAGGCGTCGGTAAGGCAGTAGAAGCAGCGGTGCTGAGTGTGAGACCTCCCGCATGTCTGACGAGTGCGATCACCTGTGCGAATGACATACGGGCAGGGACCACTACCCCCAGCCGCCCCACGCTGAGCAAACCACTCACGGAGCTCCTGAGACGAAAGGGGCTGACGCTGCTGCTGCCTCTGGCCACCTCCAAGGCCTCCCCTCTGGCTGATACCACCCCTGCCGCCACCACTGCCTCCGCCTCCACCCCCACTGCCGCCACCACCGCTGTCTCTACCACTCCCACTGCCGCCACCACTGCCGCCACCTGCCCCTCCGCCCCCACCACCACTATCTCCTCCACCGCCGCCCCCTCCACCGCCTCCATCGCCCCCACCACCGCCTCCACCTCTGCCACCCCCACTGCTCCGGCCCCCCCTGGCCCTGCCGCAGCGGCGCCTCCCAATAGGGGCAGACGCAGCCCCTACCTCCTCAGCACGAAGGTAGTCAACAGCTGTAGCACAGGCGACTGAGGGGAGAAGGGGGGAGGGCGAACACCTTTCAAAGAAGGGGGTGCGAGGAGTGCCACGAGAAGCGCCTACAGCGACTATGCTAGTCTCAGCTGCTACGGGGTGCTTCTCGAGCAGGTCGACAGTGAGGTTGGTGGGGTCAAGCGCTAGGAGGAGTTCCCTGACTGCAGTAAGAGAGTCAGGGAGGCGGGTGACTATGAAGTAGAGCGTGATGTACATGGGGGGGGGGGTTGTTGGTGAGAAACTCGGCGGGGAGCGCAGCACGGTAGCGCGTGTCACTAGTGCGGAGGTGAGAAACTAGGTCGGCTACTATGGCAAAGGCGGACAGCTCTGGGAACAGGTAGGGCACGAGAAGGCGGCCTAGGGAAGCAGTGGCCGGGGAGGAGTAACGAGTGACTACGGCGTCGTACAGTGCTTTCGCTGTCTTGTGCTGTCCGAAGTGAGCGCGTTCGGCTAACGACAGGTGGTTGCGAACGGCTAAACGAGCAGCAGCGTCACGAATAAGCCACTGTGAGCGAGTCGTACTGTCAGCTGAGGCGGCAGGGGCGGGAGAGGCGCCAGACGTGAGGTCAAACAGTGAGACTCCGTCCTTGGAATCGCTCAGTAAGAACAACTGTAGGTCGTCGAGCCACGCATCGAACTCTATCGGGCGGCCCTCCGGATCGAACGTGAGGACACTGAGCGTATCCATAACGGGCAGAGCGGACGGGCGCGCTAGCAGCAGAGCAGCACGCAGGCAGGGCTAGGCAGGGGAGCGCGCTAGCAAGGGAAGGGGACGCGGCAGGCAGAGCGGGCGGCAGGCAGCGCGCAGGTAGGGCAGAGCGCGCGGCAGCACGGCGCGCAGGCAGGGCAGGGCGTGCAGCAGCTCGGCGCGCGGGCAGGGCAGGGCGCTCGGCGGCGCGGCGCGCAGACAGGGCAGGGCGCGGTGCGCGGCGCGCGGGCAGTGCAGAGGAGCGCGGCGGCGCGGCTCGCGGGCAAGGCAGAGGCGCGCGGTGCGGCGTGCGGGTAGGGCAGGCGTGGCGACGCGACGCGCGGGCAGGGCAGAGCGTGCGACTGCGGGCGACGCGCAGGCAGGGTGCGCGGTGGCGCGACGCGCGGGCAGGGCAGGGTGCGCGACGGCGGGCGACGCGCGGGCAGGGCGCGCGGCGGCGCGACGCGCGGGCAGGGCAGGGCGCGCGACGGCGGGCGACGCGCAGGCAGGGCGCGCGGCGGCGCGCGGGCAGGGCAGGAACGGCGATGTGAAGCGCAGGCAGGGCAGGGCGCGCTGCAGCAGGCAGCGTGCGACTCAGCAGGGCGCGCTGCAGCAGGCGGCGCGCTGGCAAAAGCAATGCGCGCTGTAGCGGGCGGCACAGGGCAGGGCAGGGCAGGGCACGGCAGGGCAGGGTAGGGCAGGGCAGGGCAACGCTCTCACAGTGGCGCGACGGGTGGGGTAGCGCTATTCGGTGGGCCCTAAGAGATCGGTCCTAGGCTAGGATCTGCTCTGAAACCATGTCAGAAAGAACGAATGGATTGAACTAGCAGCAGGATGGGTACAAGTAGCAAACCCTAATTTGGGTTGTACCCCATATGGGCTACCCCACTATAGCCTACACAGAACTAACACATATATAGTTTGACATAAATCACCTGGCGGTGATGGTCTGCCGAAGGAGCTTTTCGAAGCTCACTGGGACCTACTGGGGGAAAGCTTCATGGTGATGGCAAAGGACTTCGAGAAAACGGCCTTTCTTCCGTCCGAGCTCAAAGAGGCCGTCACGATCCTGTTACACAAAAAGGGGGACCGGGATCAGCTTGACAACTACAGAGCCATAACCCTTTTAAATTTTACCTACAAGGTGCTGGCGAAGGTCATGGCGGACCGAATGAAAGCTGCGCTGCATCAGGTCATCTCACCGGAACAGAATGGGTTCATCCCGGAGAGGTGTTTATCGGACGCGGTGGTGCTGGTAGCTGACGTAATTGATGCGGCGAAGAATGATGACAATGACTGGTATCTGTTGCTGGTAGACTTTAAGGAAGCTTTTGATTCAGTGTCGCGGAACTTCCTGTTTTAAGTGCTCCGGAAGATGGGCTTCCCGGACCGCTTTGTTGACTAGATAGAAGGTCTGCATGAAACCACGAAGAAGCCTTTAGTTAACGGCTGGCTTGGGGAAGACATGGAGGAAGCTTCGGGTGTCAGGCAGGGTTGCCCGCTGGCGCCTTACCTTTTCATCTGTGCGGTGGAACCACTGGCTCAGGCGGTGGAGAGGGAGAAGCTTGGGCTCAGCAAGGATGACCAGCGGTTGGGTTACCTTGGATACGCCGACAACACCACGCTGATCCTGCAGGGGGGGAAGAAGATAGCTAAAGCGGAGGAAATTCTTGATAAATTCGAGAAAGCGTCGGGGCTCGTGACCAACAAAGGGAAATCGGTCGTTTTGCCACTAGGTGCGAATCTTGGCGCGGTTGCTGACGGCTCAGCGGAATTCAAATGGACAGGGGCCCGACGACGTGAGCGCCTACTGGGAGTATGGGTGTCGCCGTCCAGAAGCGGGCTGAAAACATGGGAATAGGCAATGGAGCGGATCGCAGTGAAGCTGATTCAGTGGCAGCAAAAATACTTAACTACCACGGCTCGTGCGACAATCGTGAACTAATATATCACACCAATCATCGCATTTCAAGCACAGGTATCCACCGTCGGTGGATGTTTGGGAGGATCTCATCCGACTTCTGCACAGCTTCGCATCTGGTAACAGAGCTTCAACGGCGAAGGGGTTCCGTTTATGGACCAAGGAGCTGCTGTACACATCGAGGGAATTGGGCGGTATTGGTGTGAAGGATCCCGAGATTATCATTACCTGTCTTGCGGCGAGGAGAGCTGGTTTATTTATCACGGAGGGGAACGTGCTGAAGAGGGAACTGATGGAGCTAGCGGCTTGCTTCCTCTTGGGGCGGAATCGTTCGAAGCCCATGAGAAGCTGTTCAGGCACTGGGAAGGGCGTAGTACACGCTGGAAGCAGACCTGCGAATGCCTCACCCGCTCGCCGCTGTGCACGCAGGCAGAGGCTAATACAAGGGAGGAGATTCTACAGAAGAGGGTGGCTTTTAACAAGAATATTTTGTTACGAGGCACCACCCGATCGGAGGTCAGAAAGATGCTAAGAAGCTGGTAAATCTCAGGCTCGGGGACTTGTTCACTCAGGACGAGGCAGGGGATCTCGTGCAAAAATCCACCCTGTCGGAGTGTGTGGGGAGCAGTGGTGCAGCGAAGCTTGTGCTGAAGGCTTTGGGAAGCCTCCCTGTGTTCTGGTACAGGCAGCTGGGGTTTCCAACCGTGCTCCCTTGCTCTGCTGACTCTCCCCCGCAGCTGCTGATCCTGGGGGGCGGGCAAATTGTCCCCATGAAGCGGATGAAGGAGGGCTGGAAAGGGACTCAGAAGGAATCGTACAAGCACGCGAAATGGGCGGCAAGATGGGGGGGGCATATCAACTGAAAAACGGTTGTGCGCACTCGTGACTCTCCGACCGTTCCCAGCCGTTCGCGGGACGTGCTCCTCCAGATCCACGGCCTGAACCTGCAAGTTGGGGAGCGCCTGGCGTTCCTAAGAAGCAAGCCAGTCTGCCCGTACTGCAGCGACCCAAAGACGTTGGAACACTGCCTAGTCCTCTGCCGAGGATTCAAGTGGTTTCCACCGCACTCCGGCGCGCTCTGCACATGCTCAACCCCACCCGCATGACGGAATCGTTGAGGGACCTCCTGTTTCGAGACACAGGAACCATCTCAGCTTTTCCAGAGCTGACGTTAACATCGATTTTAATGCACCAATTGTGGCTTGAGCGGTGCGAAGCTGTATTTCGAGGACAGAAATTCCGCACGCAACGTGTTGTACGGAAGATAGAGTTGGCGCTTCAGCATCATTTGAAGCTGTAAACCCACAAATTCGGGTCGATGTGGCGAAAACAAAGGCGGCGGGACTCTTCAGAGAACTGGAACATGCCGAGTAGGATCAAGTTGGATGGCAACAATTTGAAATGGACAAATGCATTTGCAGCTCCGTGGTCGGCGCAGAGGGCCAGACCCACCAGGCCCTAAGAATCTTCATCCGGAGGCAGAGATTCCCCTGTAACTTCTCACGCACGGTTACGACCATCTTTGTCTGTATATGCTTGCCCTGTCGGTGTATACTTTCAATTATCATAAAAAAAAACCTATGAGTAGCTGTTTCTATCGGGGATTTTCTTCAAATTCACTCCTTGTCAAGGCAAACTCGGCCATTCATTCACCCACTCGAGGTTGTTTGACCCCCTCCCCTACCCCAGCCAACCTGGCATATCCACACAACTTCGGTGCTGTTCGCCAGCAAATCGTTTCTTCAACAAGAAACGATGGCATCAGCGTCGCGACCGCATACGGAAACGGGGGCGGAACCCTCCTCCTAGGTTTGGGCGAAATGCCGCCCGAGAAACTACGCGCCCCCGAAATGCGAAATTTCGCAACCGCATCGGGAAGGTCCACCCCCACTTTCCCCCCAATGGCGCGTAATTTGCTCATCACTGACCCTCTGAACAGCAATGCGTGGGCTGTGCCACCGCTGCGCTTTGAAAAACGCGGCATGACGGGGGCATGGCTAGGGGATGTCATTTTGCCTGGGGACGAAGATTCGCCAGACGCCCACTTTGTTTGTTGGTCTGGACAGTTGGTGAGGCTCGGCACTTTTTTCACGGGCTGACCAAGCTGACGGAGGTTAACGAACTCTAACTGACGGGATCAGGAAGGCGAGACCCACCTTCCTGATCCCGTCGTTATCCCCCCGTTTTTGGATACATTGGTGCTGGCGAACAACACCTTCATGGCGCAGCACGTCTTCATCGCGGTTTCGCTTTCCTCGTACGTTCTCTTGAAACCCTCGAAGGCGGCGCGCCTAGATAGGCGTCAGCTACTACGTCGAATCGCGCAGGCCATCGTGCCCATTGCGCTGCGTCCCCCGCGCAGCCTTGCCTTGCCTAATTCTCGGCGGCGAGCTTGGCGGTGGTTGCTTGCATGCGTCAATCCGCGACGCCGCTCGGCCATGCTGGCCGAGGCTGGAGATTACGATGGCTCGGGACATCTTTGAGTGAGGTAAGCCGCGTAGGGGAGATATGGCCCGTCGACCTCGCTCACCAGCCGATGCTCCCCCGCGGCCAGGAGCTACCGGACTAATACATGATATGTCACCTCCAGCCCATTCTCCTGAACAAGTCAGACCGGCCTGGTTCCAGCCGTCGGTGTTTTGCAACAACCCGCGAGTAGCGTGGGCGCAGAATAGCATTGCGGCGGGCGTTTATCATCGAGAATCGCGGCGAGTCAAGGCGAAAGGCTGGTCTCTGGCTTCGTTTGGCGACCGTGTTCAGCCCCGAGACAACGGCGGATGCGCGGCGATGGCGGATCTGCATCGGCAATTCGTGAGTCTTGGTTTTGATAACGCAGCAGGCGTGATTCCGAGGCGCTTCGCAGCGAGGCCCACGGAGCAGCATCATCAGCAGCAGCCAACGATGGCGGCGTTGAAGGCCTTTTTGCTCGCCTCGCGCGCGACTTGCGTCGGGCGACGACAGAGCAGCAGCGGCTCGTCGACATCACGTCGCTTCTGTTCGCCGCCAACGCGCACTGGCGCGACTCCGACGCGCGCAGGCCGCAAAGGGCGTTCGGCTTCCGCGTCCTCCGCGCCATGCCGTCCGCCGCGGAGGTACAGGAGGCGATGAGCGTGTGTGAGGGTGAGTGTGTGGGTGGGTGGGTGGGTGGGTGGTGCAGGTGAGTGTGTGCAACGTGGTAAGGCTGGCTGTCGTGTTCTCAGCGGAGCTGCGCGTTTGGCAGCCATGCCACTCCCTCACCACCACACGCTCGTGCCACCCCATGCCCACCCCGAATGCGAACCTACCTCCGGTGCTCACCCCCCCATGCCAACCCCTTGAAGCCCTGACCCCCCATCTCCTTCTTCTCGTGTGCACTATGCACACCCCCATGTCGGCCACTGTATGCCCATGTGCAGACAAGTTCTTCCTGAAGGAGCGCAACAGCCGAGCCCAATTCGCGGACTGGCCGAGCGTCGATACGGAAGAGTCAGGAGGCAAGGAGAGTGACGGTGACTGTATCGCCCCACTTGCTGCCGTGTCTCTCTGCCAGCGCGGCTGCCAGCCTGCACCACGGCTGCCGTGCCACGCAACTGGGTGTGCTCTCCAGTCAAACCAATCCGCAAGGCGACAAGGTGTGCCGTGCCCTCCCCACTCGCTCTGCCCTCCCCACTCGCTGTGCCCTCCCCACTCGCTCTGCCCTCCCCACTCGCTGTGCCCTCCCCACTCGCTGTGCTCTTCCCTCCCTCCCATCTCTGCGTCTTCTCTCCCGCCTCCCTCATCCCGCCGTCAACGTCCTTTTCTCTATTCCCTGTTCCTCGACTCTCACCCCCTCTTCTGTGTCCATCCCATCCCATCCCATCCCATCCCATCACATCGCATCCCATCCCATCCCATCCCATCCCATCCCATCCCATCCGTGCTGCCCATCCATCGCCCTGCCAGCAGCCCGCCCACAGGGCGTGGGAGTACAACCTCTGCGAGGCCCCTCCGCTGCGCCGCCCATCCACACCAGCACCATTGGAGCGCCAGTGAGCGGCACAGCGAGTGGCAGCGCAGTCAGGGCGGCACACACGGACCCAGTCTCCTCGTCGGGCCGTGTGTGCCGACAGAGCAGTCAGCGACGAGGGGCCGTCCCCGGTCTCTGTCACTGGACTGCCCCTCGTCGCTGCCGGCAGACAAGACCGCACCGTCATCCGTTCACTTTCACCCGCTCACCCGATACGAAGCTGCCGCCACCCCACCGCCCTCCTTCTACCTCTGCCTCGGCAGCCACTCCTCCCTATTCTACTGTCGCTGCTCTATCTCCCACTGCTGCATCTGTCGGCCCTGACACCATCCCCGCTTGCGCCTCGCCTCGCCAGCTGCCGTCACGCTCGTGTGGTAGGAATCCAGCCGGCTCCTCCTCACGGCTCTCTGCTTCCCCGCAATGCACAGCACCCCTCTCCCCAGCACCCCGCAATGCACAGCACCCCTCTCCCCAGCACCCCGCAATGCACAGGCCGACTCCCGGCACATGATTACGCCACGCTCCCCTCCTTGGCACGCCCATGTGCTGCATCTCACCTATCCGCTCCGAAGCTGGTCGACATGTCGCTTCTGAGGAACATCATCTCATTCGTGTCGGGGAGAGCGTCAAGAAATCCGGCGAGGAAGGCGAGAGGGACCCTGCAGGGTGTGTCGATTGCAAGTGCGCGCGGATTGGCTGATGCAAAGGCTGCTACAGGTGGGCGTGGCCTGTCGGATGAGGATGTAGGAGCTGAATGGCATGCTGAAGCGACGGGGTGTTGATGCTGACGCAAGGCACTTAGATGCTGTGGTGGATAAATATGGCAGGACTGTTCTCCACGTTGCTGCGCGAGACGGGAATCTACTTGTGGTGGGTTTTCTGTGTCTCTCTTGACTTATTATCGACTTTCTTCCTCTTCCCTCCTCCTCCTCTCCTTCTGCCTGCCTTTTTTGTGTCCTCTCTCTTCCACCATCTCTGTCGCTCTCACCTCTATGCCTCGTTCCTGGCCTTCGCTGCTATGGCCTTCCCCTCCTGCCCATAGCACGGGCGCAGGGGTAGGGGAAGGAGAGAGCTTTGTACAATCGCAGTATCCCGTATGCTTGCCCCTGCCTGCATGCTCCAGGCTCACACTGACCTTCACTTGGTTTGCTCCTCCCCATACTCTTGTTCCTTCTTCCCCTTTTCGTGCCACTGCAGGTGCAGGCGCTATTGCAGCTGGGCATGCCGGCTGGAGTGCGCACGCACAACCGAAGCACACCGATGCACTGAGCAGCATGGGGGGGCCACGTGCCGTGCATGCAAGTGCTGAAGCGTTATGGTGCCGACATCCTTGCTAAGACTGACAAATGCTGTGAGTGTTCAGAGAAGCATCTAGTGTTGTGTTGTCCCTACCACCTTCCTCTGCGCACTATCGTGCACTGTGCAGCTTCGTTTTGTCTATTTTTCCCTCCCTCCCCCCTCTCCTCCCCTCCATTCCTTTGGTCATGCCTGCTCCTCCCTTGCACCACTCCCCCCTTATGCCACCCCCCCAGGGACGCCACTGCACGACGCAGTCAGGCAGGAGCAGTGGGGCGCCGTGGAGTGGTTGGCGCAGCAGGGGATAGACCCCACAAGGTGCACACCAACCCGTCGCCGTGCCTGCTGCCTGACCACCTCCTGGCAAGGGCGGTGCAGATACGTAGTGAACATGGAATGGTGTAGCGTACCGTGATAACACTCTTGGAAAGCAGCTCCTGGCTGTAGATTGGATTTTGATGGTCTTAGACAAACAGGGTGTACCCCGGCATGGCCAGCAGTTAGTCTGGAAGATAATGTTTTGGTGCCTTTCCATATTTGCACAAGCTTTTGTTGTTTGCTCAGTACATCCAGCTACTGATACGTTATTTGTATTTCCGTTCGCTCTCTGTTACGTTATTATGTACGATAGAGCATTGTAGGGTTAACTGTAACGAATCCTCCAAACTTCCAGCCTCGTCGCAATCCTTCTATGCTCGACCTTCCCAACAGCCCCTGGTCGCCATAAATCATTCACCTCACAACCCTAGGAGGATCGAAGGATCCAAGCTTAGAACAGTTGCTGCAGCGCATTGGAAAGCTTAGATAGATGTTCTAGGATGCTCAGCAAACCACTGTAATACCATCCAGTCCACGTAGTTACTCAGTGGCGATGGACCAGCACTGCGTTGCCGCATGCACGAGTCGATATGAGAATTCAAACGACCCATCCACCCTGAAATGTGGACCACATTCGTTCACCTAGATGCCACGCAAGCCAATTCCGTGTGTCATCAAAGTTCACCTTCCGAACCGCATTGGTTCAGATTTTCTGTTCCCGCGCTGAAACACTGTCCTTGAGGCGGTTTCTCTTCAGACCTGACCAGACCTGAAATTTAAACGCCTCTTCTTCCCAAGATTCAGCGGGCATCCTATTTCGAAGTTGAGCGCGCCGAGTTTCAGGAGCTTCTCGAGCCATTCGTCTGTGAACCCAGGGACTCCTCAGGAGAGAGATCAGTTGAGAAACATAACCCAACCAGCAGGAAGTCGTCGGATCTCGTTGTCCTTTCAACTCTCACGCCATCGCTCCATACCGCCTTTCCCACCTCCCTAGGTTCTGCTCTTGCTCTAAAGTGTCTTTCAAACGCTGTGTGAGCTATGTCTTCATTCGAAGACCGATCGCCGTGTCGTTCCGCGTGTTCGTCGCTGTTCGATCGTTTATCGGATGATCTCCTCTGCATCATCTTCCGTCTGCTAGGCCAGCAGTCCCGTGGTAGCTTGAACCACATTTTGGTCTGCAAGCGATGTCGTCACCTCACTTATCTCACCCTAACATCCATCTCCATGCGCTCCCGCGGGGATGATGTGATTCGAGCAGACGCTGACCTTCTTGAGTACTTGTCGAAGTTCACAAAACTGACATCTTTAAAAATAATCGATTGCGATTTCGATGACGAGTGCGAGTTTTTCTTAGGCCTCGGATTCGCATGTCCCGCGTTGACTCATCTTGACCTCAGAAGCCAGCAGGAAGGCGCTGTGACTCGGGATGACTTGGATGCACTCTTTACTGCTTGCACGGGGTTAGAGCATCTCTCTCTAGCCTTTGATGCATCTCCCACAGATTTCCCATCATCGTTCTTCCGTCTGACTTTCCTAAGGGAGGTTTATTTGAAAGCCTTCCTTTGTGACATTCCTGATGAAATCGGCGAGCTGATATGCTTGAAGAAGCTCACGTTCGACGACCTCCCGTTCAGCGAGCTTCCAGAATCGTTTGGCCTTCTCACCGGGCTGACCGAGCTGCAGATATTACGCTGCAACGGATTCGAGCACTTGCCCGAGTCCTTTGGAGGCCTTTGCTCGCTCGTCAAACTTGTCGTATCCTCTGCAGAGCAGCTGGAGGATCTTCCTGACAGCATTGGCCGCCTTCAGAACCTTCAAGAGTGCTTCTTGAAAAGAAACCCCTTCCTCTCCGGCCTCCCAGATTCGTTCTTCCTGCTTACTTCGCTGCGTGTCCTTGAGCTAACGGATTTCGAAGAGTTGCAACGTCTCCCTAGCGCCATTTCTAATCTTATTTCTCTCGAGAACCTTACCATCAAGATGTGCACTAAGCTCAGGGAACTTCCAGAATCCATGGATTGCTTCTCATTGCTGGAGCATTTAGAGTTGTGGCAACTCAGTAGCCTCACTCGACTTCCTGATTCTATTTCCAGCCTCTCCAAGATTCAATATTTCTCCTTCAATCACTGCAACAGCGTTACCAGAGTTCCGCGAATCCTTCTCAGGAACTGGAGGACGAGCCTCACAACGCTTGAGTTCGGGTGGCCAACCAGCTGCCCGGCTGGGAATGCGGCGGATGCGACGCATTCTGTTGACGGCTTCATGTGGTCCCTCTGCAGGCTTGAGAACCTTTCAACGCTCTCACTGTTTGGTGTTCCCCGCGTGACTTCATTCCCTTTTTTTGAAGTGATCAAATTCAAACGGCTGCAGCGGCTGACTGTGTGTTCCTGCCCCGACCTGCGATCCTTGAACGACATCTATCAGCAAGTCACCGGCCTCAGGAGCCTCGAGATCATGGCATGCCCAGCCTTTCATGACGATGCAGACAATATTTCCAGGCTTCTATGCCTGGAGAGCGGATGCATTGACGGTAGACCCCTGGGGAGAGGAAGGACTGGAGAAGGCAGGTGAACGTGGGACGTCGGTCAGCATTTACTGGTGATGTGGTGAGGCTGGATAGGAGGTGGGTGCATGCAGTGAGGCTGGATGGAGGTGGGTGCATGCAGTGAGGCTGGATGGAGGTGGGTGCATGCAGTGAGGCTAGATGGAGGTGGGTGCATGCAGTGAGGCTAGATGGAGGTGGGTGCATGCAGTGAGGCTGGATGGAGGTGGGTGCATGCAGTGAGGCTGGATGGAGGTGGGTGCATGCAGTGAGGCTGGATGGAGGTGGGTGCATGCAGTGAGGCTGGATGGAGGTGGGTGCATGCAGTGAGGCTGGATGGAGGTGGGTGCATGCAGTGAGGCTGGATGGAGGTGGGTGCATGCAGTGAGGCTGGATGGAGGTGGGTGCATGCAGTGAGGCTGGATGGAGGTGGGTGCATGCAGTGAGGCTGGATGGAGGTGGGTGCATGCAGTGAGGCTGGATGGAGGTGGGTGCATGCAGTGAGGTTGTATGGAGGTGGGTGCATGCAGTGAGGCTGGATGGAGGTGGGTGCATGCAGTGAGGCTGGATGGAGGTGGGTGCATGCAGTGAGGCTGGATGGAGGTGGGTGCATGCAGTGAGGCTAGATGGAGGTGGGTGCATGCAGTGAGGCTGGATGGAGGTGGGTGCATGCAGTGAGGCTGGATGGAGGTGGGTGCATGCAGTGAGGCTGGATGGAGGTGGGTGCATGCAGTGAGGCTGGATGGAGGTGGGTGCATGCAGTGAGGCTGGATGGAGGTGGGTGCATGCAGTGAGGCTGGATGGAGGTGGGTGCATGCAGTGAGGTTATATGGAGGTGGGTGCATGCAGTGAGGCTGGATGGAGGTGGGTGCATGCAGTGAGGTTATATGGAGGTGGGTGCATGCAGTGAGGCTGGATGGAGGTGGGTGCATGCAGTGAGGCTGGATGGAGGTGGGTGCATGCTGTGAGGTTGTATGGAGGTGGGTGCATGCAGTGAGGCTGGATGGAGGTGGGTGCATGCAGTGAGGCTGGATGGAGGTGGGTGCATGCAGTGAGGCTGGATGGAGGTGGGTGCGTGCAGTGAGGCTGGATGGAGGTGGGTGCATGCAGTGAGGCTGGATGGAGGTGGGTGCATGCAGTGAGGCTGGATGGAGGTGGGTGCATGCAGTGAGGCTGGATGGAGGTGGGTGCATGCAGTGAGGCTGGATGGAGGTGGGTGCATGCAGTGAGGTTGTATGGAGGTGGGTGCATGCAGTGAGGCTGGATGGAGGTGGGTGCATGCAGTGAGGTTATATGGAGGTGGGTGCATGCAGTGAGGCTGGATGGAGGTGGGTGCATGCAGTGAGGCTGTATGGAGGTGGGTGCATGCCGTGAGGCTGGATGGAGGTGGGTGCATGCAGTGAGGCTGGATGGAGGTGGGTGCATGCAGTGAGGCTGGATGGAGGTGGGTGCATGCAGTGAGGTTGTATGGAGGTGGGTGCATGCAGTGAGGCTGGATGGAGGTGGGTGCATGCAGTGAGGCTGGATGGAGGTGGGTGCATGCAGTGAGGCTGGATGGAGGTGGGTGCATGCAGTGAGGTTGTATGGAGGTGGGTGCATGCAGTGAGGCTGGATGGAGGTGGGTGCATGCAGTGAGGCTGGATGGAGGTGGGTGCATGCAGTGAGGCTGGATGGAGGTGGGTGCATGCAGTGAGGCTGGATGGAGGTGGGTGCATGCAGTGAGGCTGGATGGAGGTGGGTGCATGCAGTGAGGCTGGATGGAGGTGGGTGCATGCAGTGAGGTTGTATGGAGGTGGGTGCATGCAGTGAGGCTGGATGGAGGTGGGTGCATGCAGTGAGGCTGGATGGAGGTGGGTGCATGCAGTGAGGCTGTATGGAGGTGGGTGCATGCAGTGAGGCTGGATGGAGGTGGGTGCATGCAGTGAGGCTGGATGGAGGTGGGTGCATGCAGTGAGGCTGGATGGAGGTGGGTGCATGGAGTGAGGCTGGATGGAGGTGGGTGCATGCAGTGAGGCTGCATGGAGGTGGGTGCATGCAGTGAGGCTGGATGGAGGTGGGTGCATGCAGTGAGGCTGTATGGAGGTGGGTGCATGCAGTGAGGCTGGATGGAGGTGGGTGCATGCAGTGAGGCTGGATGGAGGTGGGTGCATGCAGTGAGGCTGGATGGAGGTGGGTGCATGCAGTGAGGCTGGATGGAGGTGGGTGCATGCAGTGAGGCTGGATGGAGGTGGGTGCATGCAGTGAGGCTGGATGGAGGTGGGTGCATGCAGTGAGGCTGGATGGAGGTGGGTGCATGCAGTGAGGTTGTATGGAGGTGGGTGCATGCAGTGAGGCTGGATAGGAGGTGGGTGCATGCAGTGAGGATTGCTTAGGCGGTTTTGTGACAGGGCAGGGTGTGTTGATGCAAGAGTGTCGGTCGGTTTCCCGTTTTGCAGGGTGTGATGTGTTGCTGCGGGTGTTCGGTGCGAAGGATGTGTCACACACACATCCCCCTCTCTGTATGTCCCTCCCCTTTACCCGCAACACTGTATGCATATTGCCATATCAG